CCAAAGTGCTGGGATTACAGGCGTGAGCCACCGCGCCCGGCCAAGGTTCATTAAGAAACAAATCCTGCTGTTTTCGCCCCTGCAGAAAACTCCTCAACAACGTCAAATTAACTTCAATTAATGTCCATATGACAAATTAACTTCAATTAATGTCCATATGACAGTTACAGGGTTTACAGGCAATCTTTACTCAGGAACTTCCCAATACTTAAGCTCTACAAAGCAGGTTTCCTGTACTATCAAAAATAAATTTAGGCCTGGCTAACACGGTGAAACGCTGTCTCTACTAAGAATACAAAAAATTAGCCGGGCGTGGTGGCTGGCGCCCCTAGTCCCAGATACTCGGGAGGCTGAGGCAGGAGAATGGCGTGCCACTGCACTCCAGCCTGGGCGACAGAGGGAGACTCCGTCTCGGGAAAAAAAAAAAAAAAAAAAAAAAAAGAAGAAGAAAAAAAGAACTGCTTATATAAGTCATTGTCATTCATGTGATGAGCCCCTGCTTGATACCTGGTAAGATTAAATTGCATCCCTTATGCTAGTGTTTCGCATACTTGGCTGATGACACAATTCACCTGTGCGGTTAAACTGGTCCCTGGGTCCTGCTTCAGACCCAGTGAATCAGAATCTCAGTGGAAAGGGCTCAGGACTCCGTTTATGTTTGCACTAAATGTTTGGAAATCACGGCCTTAAATGGTTCTCAAATTCAAAGTGCATTTGAGAGCTTGTTAAAATGTTTATTCCAGGCCTGCCTCTCAATGATTTTGGCTTGGGAGATCTGGGGTAGATTCGGGAATGTGTGAACACACCTAGGTTTCCATGCTGCCGTGATTGGCTGGTTGGGGGTCTTTCTTAGTAGCCCTGAAGGTGGGAAATTTACAGTCATGAGATGCGGGTTCAAGTCCTAGCTTTGTCTTGTACTAGCTGCATGACTTTGGGAAAGTCACTTAACTTCTCTGAGCTTCTCCTTCTACATCTGTAAAACAGGTAAGATGACTCACCTATTTTAGTGGTCATAAGACTTAAATGAGGTGATTCAGGGTTTTTTTTTTTTCTTTTAGGTAGATAAAATTCACATAACATAAAATTAACCATTTTAAAGTGTTAACAATTCAGGGGCATTTAGCACATTCACAATGTTGCACAACCATGACCTCTGTCTAGTTCCAAAACATGTTCATCATCTCCAAAACAAGCCCCATACTCATTAAGCAGTCCCTAGACAACCACGACTCTGCTTTCTGTCTCTATGGATTTACCTATGCTAGATGTTTCCTATAAACAGAATCTTAAAACATGTGACCTTTTGTGTCTGGCTTCCTTCACTTAACATAATGGCTTTGAGGTTCATCCGTGCTGTGGCGTGTGTCAATATTTCATTCCTTTTTTTCTGGCTGAATAATATTCCCTTTTTTCTGCCACACTTTTGTTTATCCGTTCATCAGTTGAGGGGCATTTGGGTTGTTTCTATCTTGTGGCTCTCGTGAATAGTGCTGCTATAAACATTCATAGACAGTGTTTGTTTGAACACCTGTTTCACTTCTTTTGGAAATATACCTCAGAGTGGACAAACTAGCTGGGAACGTAGTTTTAAGTCTCAGAGCTGGGGTTCATGAATAAGGCATTTGGGGATCCACTGGAGTTATGGGTTCCCAAGTAGAGACATAAAACTTCACGCTTCTGTTCCTTCTGGAGGGCAAATTCAGTGCCTTTTGCCTGATTCTCAAAGGGGCATTAATGCAATAAAGGTTAAGATCCACTGGCCTAAAACACTGAACGTATTTCCGTTACTATGACTGACTGTGCACTTCAAAGATCCAGATAAACGAATCCAAATTTTACTCAGTGTGTTACAACTTAATTTTAGTGATGAGTGTTCAATGGATTCTAAGATGCAATTTTCTCGCTTCACCATCTGGGAGGTCGGGGCGAGGCTTAAAGCGATAGTGTGTAATAATAACTGCCACCAGGTGGCGCTCATGATTCGCCGTGTGCACAAACGTGGGGGCGTAAGAGTATCAGGGTTTGCAGAATGCCAGGCAGCACCCTGGGAGATCACCCCGTAGGCAGTGGGAGAACACTCCTAACCCATAGGAACTAATTGGTTGTGAGAAGGCGGTGCAAGAGGGGGGAAATAATTAAGCAGTGTTCTCTAAGCAGGGGTCAAAGGCAGGCAGAGGTTGGACGCAGTAATCACAGTACTTTGGGAGGCCGAGGTGGGAGGATGGCTTGAGGCCAGGAGTAGAGACCAGCCTGGGCAACATAGCGAGATCCCCATCTCTACAAAAATAAAAAAATTTAGCTGGGCATGGTGGCGTGCACTTGTGATTCCAGCCGCACGGGAGGCTGAAGTGGGAGGATTGCTTGAGCCCAGGAGATTGAAGCTGCAGTGAGTCATGATCACGCCACTGCATTCCAGCCTGTGCAACAGAGCAAGACCCTGTCTCCAAACAAACAAACAAACAAACAAAAACAAACAAACAACAAATAAACAAAAACCAGGCTGGTTCACAGGGCAGGGACTAGGGCAAGGCGAGGCGTCTAGGGCGAGAAGTGTACGGAGACTCTTTTTTAAAGGCTGTTCTATGGGACGCTTGGTCACCTCCTTACATTTTTCGCCTCAGGCACCTCTCTTGCCTCAACCTCGTCCCAGCCCTGCCTCAACGTAACTGCAAGCCCCTTGTATCAAAGACTTTAGTTCGTTATGGACATTCCTACTGAATTCTGCATCCTTGATGCTTTAATGGGACAGGAGCAATATATATATGTACACATGTGTATGTATATATATGCATATACATGTATGTATGTAAATGTATATATATTTTAGTACAGAATGACATTCAACTGGAGCAATATTGAGTGGAGGTTAATGTTGAAGACCTGGAGTAAAAAATGATTCTACAGCTGGGTGTGGTGGCTCATACCTGCAATCCCAGCTACTCAGAGGCAGAGGAGGGACGATTGCTGAGGTCAGGAGTTCTAGGCCAGCCTGGGCAACATAGCAAGACCCTGTCTCTACAAAAAAATTTAGTAATAATTTAGAAAATCAAAAGTGCCAGACTTTGAAGGTGGGGAACTTTTAAATACACTGGAACCAGTTTATTTTGCTTGTATTTTGTTTGTTTGTTTGAGACAGAGTCTTGGTCTATTACCCAGGCTGGAGTGCAGTAGCGTGATCACAGCTCATTGCAACCTCTGTCTCCTGGGCTCAAGTGATCCTCCCACCTTAGCCTCCCAAGTAGCTGGGACTACAGGCACATGTCACTATGTCAGGTTAATTTTTGTATTATTATTATTATTTTTTTTGTAGAAATGGTTTCACCATGTTACCCCAGGCTGGTCTCGAACTCCTGGGCTCAAGCAATCCTCCCACCTCCGCTTCCCAAAATGCTGGGATTACAGGTGTGAGCCACTGCGCCTAGGCTGCTTATATTTTCATTTCAACATTTTCATAATTGTGATATATGATAAAAAGCTTAACGCTTAAAGACCTTTTTATTTATTTATTTATTTATTTATTTTTATTTTTAGATAGAATCTCACTGTGTCATTACAGGCTGGAGTGCAGTGGCGTGATCTCAGTTCACTGCAACCTCTGCCGCCCGGGTTCAAGTGATTCTCCTGCCTCAGCCTCCCGAGTAGCTGGAACTTCAGGCATGTACCACTATGCCAGGCTAATTTTTTTAAATTTTTAGTAGAGATGGGGTTTCACCATGTTGGCCAGGCTGGTCTTGAACTCCTGACCTCAAGTGATCTGCCTGCCTCGGCCTCCCAAAGTGTTGGGATTACAGGCGTGAGCCACTGTGCCTGGCCAAAAGCTCCTTTAGTAAGTAAAAATAAAAATTCTAAGCCAGGAGAAGACATTGTGTCATAGTGTAATTGGCGACATTTTTTTTTTCTTTTTTAGTGGTGACATCTTAGATTTAATGAAGTACAGTAGCTCAGCTTTTTATTATTTTAAAATTTAATTTAATTTTTTTGAGATAGAGTCTTGCTATGTCCAGGCTGGAGTGTAATGGCATGATCAAGGCTCAGAGCAACCTTGACCTCCTAGGCTCAGGTGATCCTCCCATCTCAGCCTCCCGAGTAGCTGGGACTACAGGTGTGTGCCCAACTACTTTTTTTTTTTTTTTTTTTAATAGAGATGGGAGTCTCACTATGTTCCCTAGGCTGGTCTCGAACTCCTAGTCCAACTTTTTAGAGCAAGTTCAGAACTCCTGTGAGCCAATCCTGACATCTCCAGGGCCCGTGGACCCTGTGTGGTGAGTAGGTTTCTTTACCTTTACACACGGGCAGGGGCCCGTTCCAGTGGGATGGCTGTCCCAGGATGCAGCGGATGGTCACTTCGCCCATGAGCTCGAAGCCTTCGTAGCACATGAAAGTGAGGGACTCTCCTGGCAGGTAGAGTCGCTTGTACAGGATTTGGTATCCATTTTCAGGCAGCCCTGGGTTGTCACATGCCAGGGACTCCTCCGCTGAAATGCAAGCCAGAAGGAGCTCTGATGAGATGATGCAAATCTTTGGGGAGTCCTGCTCAGAATCTCTGTGATCTAGCTTTGGTCAGCCTCTCCAGCATCCTCTGTCTGTATCCCCACCTCATGTCAGACTGTTTTCTATTTCTCAAACTCTCCTTTCTGTCTTCCACCTCTGGGCACAGATTACATATGGGCAAGGTAGAATGAAGTTGGCTGTGGAATCAAGGTTAAAATACGAGTTCCGTTACTTATTAGCTGTGTGATCGCCAGCAAGTGGCGTAACCTTTCTGATCCTTAGTTTCCCCATTAGCGTAATGATGATCAAAGTATTATCTGTCTTACAGGAATTTGGAGGACTAAAATAGATAAATAAAGAAATGCGTAAGATGTTTTTGGCATGTCATAGGTGCTTAGTAAATGATGGACGGTGGGGGTGTTTAATTATGAAATCTTCTCCTTGCTTTTCACCTGACACCTAACCTGCGCATCCATCATGACTAGGTCTTGTCTTTCAACACTCAGTCTTCATTTCTCCTTCTCCAGGAAGCCTTCCTTGATGCCTCCTACCATCAACTGAGTCGTCAGTCTTCTTAGTTTTTCCAGCACTGCATGCACTGTATTGTACTGAATTATTTATCTGTTTCTCTCACTGGAGATGAGCCTGTTAGAGCAAGCTTGAAGCTCAGGGCCTGGGATTTAGAAGGAATGCAATAAAAGGCCCCAACTATTAAAAATAAGCCCACACTGCCATCTGGTGACCATTCTCTTCAGCTGCAGACACAAAGCCCCCGGTAGCCTAAGACACCCAGGCTGGAGTGCAGTGGTGCAACCCCGGCTCACTGCAGCGTCAACCTCCCAGGGTCAAGCAATTCCCCTGCTTAAGCCTTCTGAGTAGCTGGGACTAAGGGCGTGTCCGGCCACACTTGGCATTTTTTTTTTTTTTTTGGTACAGACAGCACCTTGCTATGCCTCCCAAGCTGGTCTCAAACTCCTGGGCTCAAGCAACCCTCCTGCCTCAGCCACCCAAGATGCTGGGATCACAGTATTTATTGGAGAGTTGAACCTACAGGTTTAACCCATTTCAGGCCCCAGGTGAAATCTAGTCCTTTTTCAGCACCTGGATGGAATGGACAGCTAGCAAATTGCTTCACACACAGGACTACACATCCTAAAACATTATAAACTTTATTATTTAAAAAATTTTAAATTGTGGTAAAATCCACATAACATAAAACTGACCATCTTAACCATTTTAAGTGTACGGTCCAGTAGGTTAGTGTACTTTTACATTCTTGGGCAACTTATATCCAGAACTCTTTTCATCTTGCGAATCTTACACTCTATATGCATTAAACAACTTATCCCTAGCCCCTGGTATCCCCCATTCTACTTTCTGTCTCTATGAAGTTGACAGCTCTAGCTATCGCGTGTAAGTGTAATCAAATGGTATTTGCCTTCTGTGACTGGCTTCTTTCACTTAGCGTAATGTCCTCAAAGTTCATCTAGGTTGTAAGATGTGTCAAAAATTTTCTTCCTTTTCAAGGCTGACTAATACTCCATTGTAGGCAGGTGCCACATTTTGTTTTTTGTTCATCCATCGATGGACACTTGGGTAGCTTCCCCTTTTGGCTACTCTGACCAATACTGCTATAAACATGGGTGCACATGTTAAGCTATGCCCAGATTTCTGACCCACAGAAACTGTCAGATAATAAACATGTGTTGTTTGAAGCATCTTATTTTGCAAGATGAATCTCAAGCATCCCTTCAAGACCTAGATTGCTACCCAAAGGCAGGTGGGAACTCTGTCTTATCACCATCACAACTTCAGAATCTTTTCTGGCACCTCTTTCCCAGGCTTAAAACTCGTATTATGCTCACACCCAGTACAATGCCTGGTTCACAGAAAGCATTCCTTTATTTACTCAAATAATGTTTATTGAGCAATTACTACGTGCCAACAACATAAGTAGTACTGAGGACACAGAGGTGAATAAAATAGATATAATCCCTGGTCCTATGGTACTTGTGGTTCAAGGCACACAGTACAATACAGGTCCCAGCTAGAACCCTTTTCTCTGTGAACATGACTTACATCTGGGCTCTACTTAGCTTGAGCAATGTCAACTAAAACAATAGTTACCGAGCTTTCACAAATTAGGAGATTTCAAATAGTAACTTAGATTTCTGGATTCTTCTGAAACATTAGAAGATTGGGCAATACTGGGTTCACATAGTTACATGGCAATGACTGGCTGGAGTTGAGAACTGGCTTTTCCTGTTAGACCAGGAATATTCTTTACTTTGGCCCCAATCTCTGCCATTCCCTATTGCCTGGCCTTGTAGGCATTTAAATGTATCACTTTTCCCATGAAAAGATGAATGAATCAATTGATGAGTATGTTTGAGTCACAGTAATCACCACACATGAAGAATCGGGGCTTTGATCTCCTCCAGTGGGTGGATGGGTAGGAATCTGGCTTCTAGTCTTGAGGTTGGAGGGTTTTCCTTTATACGTCGATAGCAGTCTTCACTGGAACTTATTTTTTTTATTTTTTATTTTTTTTTTTTTTTTTTTTGAGACGGAGTCTCGCTCTGTCACCCAGGCTGGAGTGCAGTGGCCGGATCTCAGCTCACTGCAAGTTCCGCCTCCTGGGTTTACGCCATTCTCCTGCCTCAGCCTCCCGAGTAGCTGGGACTACAGGCGCCTGCCACCTCGCCCGGCTAGTTTTTTGTATTTTTAGTAGAGACGGGGTTTCACCGTGTTAGCCAGGATGGTCTCGATCTCCTGACCTCGTGATCTGCCCGTCTCGGCCTCCCAAAGTGCTGGGATTACAGGCTTGAGCCACCGCGCCGCGCCCGGCCTCACTGGGACTTATGAACTGTTTCCTTCCCACCCTTGAAATCTAGCCCAGAAGTAGCCTGTGGAAAGAGACTTTCCAGGTCACTGTGCAGCTGGAGTTGCATCTTGGATGACACCATAGATAGCTCTGACGGGCACCCTTGCATTTATTCAGAAAATATCTCATGAGTGCTTACTTCACGCCCAGCAATGCGTCCAGCAATGGGGTAAGGAGGTGAATCTGGCACCATTCCTGCCCTCTAACGCTCATGGTCTGCATGCTCTAAGGGGCCAAGCAAATGTGTAAATGGACAATGTAATTAAAAATGGCAGGTGCCATAGAAGAGAGAAACTCTGAAGACCCTGGCTGGCTGGAGAAGACCGCTAACGCAGTCAAGGGAAGGGGCTGTTGGAATAGTTGAGCGAGAGAGGCAGAGATGCTGAATGTACTTCCCTTTCCACAAGATTCCCAGAGATGAGGCAATAAGTGGTTCAGCTGACACTTGGCCAAGGCTAATCCTTCCACTAATTGAAGGTCATCTGTATACTTGAAGTTTACCCCCTGGCATTCCAGAGCAGGATGGATATGCAGCCAATGCTTCTGTGTCTGAGCCCAGAGTCAAATCACAAAGCCTTGCTTAAATCAATCATGGGGCTCCCTCCAAGGCAGCACTGTATTATGTGTTTATGGACGAGACCTAAAAGGGCTGGCAAGGGATCATTAACCCTGCAGAGCGTGCCTTGGGGATGTTCTGTAGGAAGGGAGAATTTTATTTTTATTTTCACAGCCTGTGCTTTGTTGTATTTTTTTTTTTTTAATGCAGGGTGGGTCTGCATTATTTTACAATAAACATAGATGGTATAATGAATGTTTTATAATGTACATTATAATATTTATAATATACATTATAAACCCAGTGCCATTCATGTTCTAATGATTCCTCTGAAAATATCCTTAGGAAGTCTTTGGTCCTCAACCCAGCTGAGCTCGCTGCTGCATCCTTGGCAGCTTGGTACAGGATAGAAGCCCAATAAATGTTTCTTGAAAGACCTCACATCATTTCATTTAAAGGCAAATTGCAGAGTAGAAGCGCTTGGGCTCAAGTGTCCAAGGGCTCAGGATTCAGATCCTAGTTGTACGTCTGTGAGCACAACTGACCTCTCTGAGCCTCAATTTCCTCATCTTGAAAATGGGCTATCTCATGGCGTTATTATGAGAATTAAATAAGCTTATGCACATGAGATGGGCAGCATATAGTGAGCACCCAATACACACTGATTATTTTTATGACTTTTATAACTCTTGTCATATTTTCATACCAATTGTACTGTTGTTTACTTAATACGTATATATACACATATACATGTGTGTGTATATATATATATATATGGAGAGAGAGAGAGAAAGAGACAGATGGAGTCTCACTCTGTCACTCAAGATGTAGTGCAGTGGCATGATCTCAACTCACTGCAACCTCAGCCTTCTGGGTCCAAGCGATTTTCCTGCCTCTGCCTCCTGAGTAGCTGGGACTACAGTCATGTGCCACCACGCCTAGCTAATTTTTTTTTTTTTTTTTTGTATTTTTAGTAGAGATGGGGTTCCACCATTTTGGCCAGGCTGGTCTCGAACTCCTGACCTCAAGTGATCCATCCACCGCAGCCTCCCAAAGTGCTGGGATTACAGGCGTGAGCCACCACACCTGTCCTCTTTAATATATTTTTGTAAATTTCTATTGACTTGTTTTTCTTGTTTTTCTATTTAGATTGCACTATATAATTTAGCCTCACTCTAAATAATAATAGTCTTATAATCAGAGGCTTCACATGTCAGTTTTAATTTTTCTAATTTTCTAAGCCAAATGACTCACAAAAAGTTCATCTGGACACTGTTTAAAGCCGCATGGGTACTCCCGTAATGTATCTAATACTCCTACTCCTCGGGAAATGCAGCCCGGTGCACTACACTTCATAGTTTTTGAACTCCTAGAGTCCAGAATACACTCTCCGGTTTTTTTGTTTTTTTGTTTTCTTTTTAGACTGTAGACTCTGTTCCTCCAACATTCCATCCGTGTGCTAGGAGCTGGGTGTGAAGTAGTGAATTAGAGAATCATGGTTTCTGTTCTCCCAGAACTCAGTCGAGTGGGGAACAGAGAGCAGT